ATGGCGTCATGGAGTGGTTTTGTGACGCCAGCAATACCTGGCAGCATCTAGCAGCAAGACCTAAAGAATACGTAGATGCGCACGAAAGCTGACGCCAACCGGCCATTCTCGTCGCGGGCGCTGTGTTGGGCGGCCGATTAGTGAATGGCTTGTCTGGGGATTTTTTGTCTTGGTATCGGTCGTAAGAAAAGCCTTGGTGGACTGTTTGACATACGTATTGTAGTGTCAACTCATCCCTGCCTGCAGTGCTGTAGTCCTGACATTGATGTTATGTAATGTGCGCAGTAGTTACTAATTAATGTAATTATAACGCAGGTGCATGCAAAAATAAATCAATATGTAACGCTGCTGTGAAATGGTTGCCAAAACATTGCTAATGCCGTGGCAAAGATGGTAGGGTTGAGCTACCATGAATGTTTTTCTTGCTTACGATTATTTATGTAATTACTAGTTAACCCTGATATCACCATTGTGGTGGAACAGCATTCTTGCTGTTGATAGTCATTTAGCGTTGTTAAATCAGTTCATAAATCATTCATAAATTACAAACTGTTATCTCACGGGCTTGACATAAGCTTGTCAACCAATGCGGTACGTTGCATAATGGCACGGGTTAACAGTGTCATTGTAGCAGTACCTCAATGCTGTACTGTGGCATGACATAATAAACAATGGTATAGTTTTTGTTCTGTAATCTCTGCTGCTTTCACAATAAATTTCATCTTGAAAAGATGGCTCAGGCTTGTATTTTTGTACTAACTCCGCATTTGGCATACGAGTGACCGAAAACACGTGATGCAAAATACAAATCCCTTTCAGCAAAGCACACAACCAATAAGTGACATCACTTGCTCAGCATGTTTTGGGAATCCACAAAACATAGGTGACAAAAATTCGGTCATGTCCTCTGCTCCCACAGCTCACAACATGTTACAGCCATCAGACTGCTTCACTTAACACGCGCTCGGGTGGGGGTCAAATTGACCCCTCCGAAGGTTTTCCCAAAATGATTTCCAAACGGCGCGCTGTAGCCGCGCCAAATTTTGCATACTGTAGGCAATTGAATAGCAAATTGTCTGACATTAAATAATAAGAAGTACCTTGTAAGGTCGCTGACCTATGATAGGTAGAAGTCAGGTCATGGTTCCAGCGAAGGCACGTTCTAGAGAATCGTTCAATCCGATCAAACAACGCATTGTTAGACGAAGCCATACATCACTGAGATACTTTCTTAAGCAATACAACAATTGAATAAACAAATAGCATTGACCTACGGTCAGGTATGAAGGTCAGACCAATGTAAAACCGACCTGTTTTATTACTCTAGAGCTTGCTGTATTGGCTGGTTTCTGGTGCTTATTTCGAACATATTGATGGCAAGAACCGTATTATACACCTTCCATGGACTTCTTATAAGTCAGAATAGATCACTGACCTTAAAGGCCCCAGGTCAACATTTTGTCTTTAGGAACATACTGCCTAGCGTATTCTTTGTCGCTTATCCAAATGCACAACTCAAAACCCTCTTGTATCATTTTAATCATCATGACTTTAAAAAGTCAAACAAGTTCACTAACCTTAACTGAGCGTGTGGTATTTTGCTTAGAACAGTTGCCTGGGTTCTAGAGGCCCTTTGGAGACTCATCTGGAATTTAACCTTGTTTGATCTTATCTGACCCGGAGGTCATGACCTAAGAGCTTTAAATTTTGACCTAAGTGAGTTCACGTACAGTTCAACACACGCTGTGAATTTTGTCTCTCTAGCGCTCTTCATTCCGGGGATCTCAGCGGTCAGATTGCCCAACTTACCCGAGCATAGGTTGACCAACCGGTGACCCTGGCGCGTGTTGAAAGGTCAAACAAAGTCACTGACCCTTACTGAACGCGTGAAATTTTTCTTAAAACAGTTGCCTAGATTCTAGGGCTCTTTTGGACACCATGCTGGAATATGACCTTGTCTGACCCTATTTGACCCGACGGTCAAGACTTTCGAACTTCACACTTTGACCTAAGAAATTACGTACAGGTCAAGACACTCTATGAATTTGGCGTGTCTAGCTCTTTTAGTTCCCGAGATCTCAGGGGGGGGGGGGCAAATTGACACCCCACCCGAGCGATGGGTATCCAAACGGCTACCCGGGCGCGTGTGAAAAATGCGATTCACACAAGTAATCGCACATGCATAACAAGAAAACATTCGATGTCGTGAAATAACACTGCGAACGGCTGACCTTGCTCAATGCTGGAGACATGACAAGTGCATATAGTTACGGTTAGATGGGCGAAATGCAAAGAAGTGATGAAGCTGCCGGTGCACACAAGGCAGATGATAAAAATGCTATTAAGTGCTGTCCAAGAAACCAACTGCAATACTTATCCACCTCCCTCCGTACCCAGTATCTCACACAATTGAAATGCTCAGACCAAGCATGTGCATTGATGAGCCGCACTGACCTGTCCCCACTGCCGAAATGAATTCCTAATATAACGGCATGCGAGGGATTAATTACATGGTGGAATATCCCAATGGGTTCAAAATTATGGCAAGATCATAATCAAATAGCGAATTGCCTTTGAGCATCCCTGAGTCATAGATGCCAGTGTTTCTTTCAGTTTGACGCCATCACAACTTTATCATGTTAAATCGAAAACCTAGAACAGGTCTCAAACCATATCATTTTATTGGGATTCATTAGATTGACAGAATACCAAAGCAATGTTCTCTGTTTCAAGTACAAACCTCGCACGCACCCTCCCCATTACATCAAGATTAATACAAGCCACTGGCACGCCCTATCAGTGATCACACCAATTTCAAAGCCCTAATTTACACTCTAATTTCAAATAAGTGTAATCCCACACTTGCATAACCCGCGAGAGTATCAAATTGCAGGTTTTCTTGCAATACCCCACAGGTTTTCGGTTATAACACCGTGTTTCGCCTTGAGCTCCCTTCAAAAACGGAATCCCAACAGGGGTTCATGGTAACACAACTCAAGAGTTTGCACTTGAAGGACACAATCATTTTGTTCATGATTTAAACTTGTCCTCCGACATGTGACGAATATTTAGCAAAATCTATATATCTAAAATTACTGTACTATTTTCCCGATGTTACAATGCCTGGCTAACCCATAACACCATGCAGGGCCCCTTTCTCCGGTATACAAGACGCTAACTGAGTTGTCTGTAAAAAACACGTCAGTAAAAGAAAAGAAAACGTCAGTACGAGAAAAAGGCGGATTTGCTGTCGTGTCTTGTCTGTTTTTATGACATTCGGAAGTGTGCCGTTTTTCGGTACTGCGCTATATTTGCAAACAGTGGCATTCTCTTTTTATAACCTTGACCTATGGCGTAAATCTAAGGAAAATGCCCAGTTGGCCACAAGTGCCAGACAACCTGAAAGTGCCCGCCGTTAAGTTCGCGACGCGCATTCAGCAGCGAAATTTTTAACAGCCAATCACCTTCCGCGACCATGCGTGCCGCATCGTCACTCGTGTTAATGTATTAGCAGCAATTATTTTTGGACCATAAGCAGAAAACAGCCTGAAATATAACGACGATCGTATGACGTTTCTATGATGTCATCAATGCCAAGGTGACTTTAAAGTAGTCTCCCATTAAACCCTTTCGCACTTTTGCAGGCCTTTAACTCAGGAACCAGAGAGCTTGATGTCTTTTAGGGTCTTCACTAGCCTTTCAGCATCAGTCACAACGCAAAAGACATCCGTCATAGGCCGCTTCCCTGCGAATCATTGGCTGGTGTTCGATTCCGCGGCCGTGCCGCTCCGACGCCGACCTGAAGGTGGCGCAACCAAGAGCGTCAGCCTGTCCCCTGTACCAGAGAACATTTTAACCTGCTAACCCTTCTGCTTGTAACCTGAACCTGTCTCAATGCGTGCTACGTGCCGCCGTCCCCGCCCTCTCGGAAGCGGTGCCGGGCCGAGCCGTCTCACGTGGAATCGGTGGACCGGAGGCCGGTTGTGGTCGGGTCGTCTGGCTGGACGGGGACGCCCGCTGCAGAGGGCGTTGCGTCAGGTGGGGCAGCGCCGCCGGCGGCAGCGTGACGGCCAACCGCGTCGCCCTCCCACGGCCGAATAAAAGCCCGGCCGCACACACACCAGGCACCAGTCACTCGCCAGCAGTGGTGTCCACCTCACAACGCCACGGCAAACATGAAGCTGGTGAGTACGGTCCGGAAGATCGGTGCTTCACATCAGCGTTGCCTTTCGTATTTTAGCGGTGTCCGTACTGTCAGTTAGGGCGCCACAAAAGGTCCTGCAAATAGGGTTGTTGATCATCTTCCATAAATTCCGCGTCCGGAAAAATCAAAGTGTTTAATTTTAGTGCCTGAACGTTTTTTTTCATTCCGTTCCAAAGAGCCTAAACAGGTAGGCATGGAGCCATTTCGGTGAACCGCAATATTAGCAAGACGTGCTTAAATTGGTCAGCTTAAAAAGCAAGAGCGTAATTTGACATCCAAAACGTTGCTACGATACCACACTGGCCAGAAGAGATCAGAACAAAAGTGCGGACGTAGGCCACAATTTCAACAGTCCCTGGATCAGTGCGAGAGGCCACGTCGCCGGTCGTCGCTGTCAGGTGCTGCACACATTCCACAACTATCCCTTGATCCCTGCATCCACTGATGAGAGAAACTGGCCTGACAAAGGCGCTGAACCACGTCTTATCACGGTAAAAAGGTGCGTCGTGATTTCAACCTCTGCATGCACCGCTGGGTCGGCACCTCCTCTGACGTCAGCTGGGTGTGTTTCCAGTTGATCGTAGCCTCGCTGGCGGCTCTGGCCTGCGCTGATGGCCCGCGGCAGCAGCCGGCGCCCGCCTCCTACCAGCGGCCGGCGGCCCCGGCACCAGCCTCCTACCACCAGCCGGCGGCACCGCCCTCCCACCAGCAGCCGGCCGGCTACGGCCAGCCCTTAGCCATCCTCAGCGAGGAGAACGTCCACCCGGGCGACGGCACCTACCAGTTCAGCTTCCAGACCGAGAACGGCATCTCACGTAACGAGAACGGCAGCCCCAAGGCCGGCTACGGCAAATCCGAGTACGGCCAGCCCACCGGCGGCTACGTCCAGCAGGGCGGCTGGAGCTACAGCGACGGCTACGGCAACCCCATCCAGGTGACGTTTGTTGCCGACGAGAACGGTTACCAGCCGTCTAGCGACATCCTGCCGACGCCGGTGCCGACCGAGTACCCGCTGCCGATCGTGCCACAGGTGTACCAGGGCGAGCAGAGCTATGGCTCTGCCCCAGCCCCCGCTCCCGCCCGCTACAGCGCCCCGGCTCCTGCTGCCCGGCAGTACAGCGCTCCCGCTCCTGCGGCTCCTGCTCCTCGGCAGTACAACGCTCCCGCTCCTGCTCCTGCTGCCCGGCAGTACAGCGCTCCCGCTCCTGCGGCTCCTGCTCCTGCTCCTCGGCAGTACAACGCTCCCGCCCCTGCTCCTGCTCCCAGGCAGTACAACGCTCCCGCTCCTGCGGCTCCTGCTCCTGCTCCTCGGCAGTACAACGCTCCCGCTCCTGCTCCTGCTCCCAGGCAGTACAGCGCTCCCGCTCCTGCCCCCAGGCAGTATAATGCTCCTGATCCGGCTTCTGCTCGTTATAGTGCTCCTGCCCCCGCCCGCAACTACTAAAACGGATGGACGGCGAGCGCTGAGAATAGCGCATATGCGAGTGCGAGGATGTGAGGCTGCATGAGTAATATATTTATGCGTCCGTATTGCTAAGAAATACAGCCGCATGTAAAATAAACTGTTTTCACCGCACTGTTATGATCATTTGTACTTGAGACAAACGATGCCAACGATGTAAATGGCCAGCAACATGATGGACCGACGAGGCAACATTTTCAACTGAATAGCTCACATCCCCACCAGATCCCTGACCTGGCTGCCAGCAGCTCACAGAAGAGGGATCGACAACGCCGGGCTGCTAGTCAGGTCGCACGGCACGGTCCGGGGTGCCGTGAAACGTCCCTGCTCTTTTGAAAGGTAGCGCTCAAATCGTCGTTTTGGGAGCGCTGCTTCATTGGATTGTTTTCTTCTGATGAGAATATCTGCACTGCAATTGAAACGTTTCAGATCCAGGAGCTGTCCACACCAATGCATAAAAGTTGTATATTAGTATTCACTCAGCAACCCAAATAAAAGTGGCTCCGGTTTATAGTTTGCTACGGTGTGGGCATTCTTGAGTGGGTCAGAAACTACCTCCGCACTCGGTAAGGCAGGGACATTGGAACATCCCAATGACATGACCGGTCCCAAATCGGGATTCACCTAACCAACCCTGAAATTTCGGTTTCCCCTTGGATTTATGCCAGTTCCACTTTACGGTCGGACGAAAAGCCACAAAACATATAGCGAATATCATGTGAAATGTGGTGGGGCTAGGGCGGAGTCAAAACACTCGAGAGTGAGGGGTGCTGGGGTGGGATGGGCTGGGGTGCGGTATCTCTAATTTGTGGAGGTAGCTTGTGCGGGGAAGGTGGCGCTGCATGGAGTGCGCGCTGCACAACAATGGTTTTGTGCCAAAGTTTCCATTTTTTCTATCACTGCTTCTTAGGGGTCTCTTGGCCCTTACGAGAAGATTGGAGGGAACCTGGAGTTCTGTGACGCTTTGTTTGGACACGCGAATGCTCGTGAGGTGGACAAGCGACTCCGCCTGAGCTGAACACGCGACTAAGTTGGACACGCGACGGCTCCTGTGCTTGGCTTATTGCTACTCCAACGATGGGCTCAGCGAAACTGGGCTGAGCTACGCACACGTTTCGTTCTGGTACACTTGATGTGATGCGTTTCACCGTTACCGTGATAGCCATTAGCTTTCAAAGTATATTTCTAATTCATATGTGCGTTCCGTTTACGTAGCCATTTCCTTCAAAACAGGTATCTGCATGCAGGTCTGTGTAAAAATACAGTTCAGCATACGACGTGGCATACTGCGATTAACTGCATACTGCATACTGCATACTGCGATTAAGACCCGAAAGCTGCAGTCAGCAGGCAATGTGAATCGTAAACGAAGGTCTAGGTATCCAATGCTAACTATTCATCTTCGTAAACATTTTGTGACAATACAAATTTGCTCAATGAGATATTGATAAATATACCACGTTGTTTTGCTGCTTTGCTAAGTGCGCATGTCAGTGACACGGCAGCATTTTTGAACAGCTTATTCTTACTATCCTTGCTTGTACGCAGCATAACAAACAACAACGTAACTTTATTTTATGCTGTTGAATGACACGTCCTTCTAAGGACAACACACACAACATATAAGATCCCGAGTTTGATACTCCAATACGAATATGGCATTGCGGCTGTTGTGGCGCATACAAATGTTGTGAAATAGAAAGAGTGAAACTGTCGAGTTCTAGTGGCTGTATGAGACAAAATATGTCTGCATTTCCCTAAACTATATAATATTGGTGTCCATGTACCATATAATTTGCAAAGTTGACTTTCCACAGCTGGAAATATCCAGGTTTCTTTACGCTTTGCCGGTGCAAAGTCATGAGCTGATGCGGGCTATTTAAGAAGACCACGCCTTGGTCTTACCAAGATGAGGTAGAGGTGTGAAATCTCCGTACCTTTTATCTATATACTGTTTCAAATTTCAAACTCCCTTTGTAATCTGCATTCAAAAATCGGCACCGCAGTGCTAAATAAGATGGCAATTAAATGACATATTGTTGGCACATTTTATCTGCATGCGAAAAATTACAGAATACCGGAAAAATACAGATTGTACTTAGCGTCAGATAAGATTTGTAGCACAGTCAGTTTTTGCGGGTCAGATCGCTAGCTGGCCAGGGCAGGCCGGGATACGGGAGGACATTTTGCAAGAAAGTGACCTTTCTGAACCGTACCCACCGTCTTACAGTCGGAGCCAGGCGGACCTCTGCGGCTGGAGAATGCGGACATCACATACCGTGTCCCCTGACAGGGTGTCAGGCCGTGTGACACCGCTCAGAAGAGCTCAGAGCCCTTCTGCCCGTTCGGTCGAGAGTTACGTGTAGCCCGAACACTACACGGCTTAGGGTTCGGGCTCAAGTAAATACACTTTCACACGATGGCCTTCCAATCGAGTACGAATACTAGTGAAAAACAAATTTGCAGTTGCCACCTGGGACAGAGGGCAGTTGAGGAGAACCGACCGCACCGTTATCTTCAATATCTTGTTGACCTTTCCTTCATTGACCATTTTATCATACGTTAACCGAGCATTGCTGCGCAGTCAAAATTTAGCACATCATCGCGTGGTTCTTTGTCCATCCGCCGTTGTTTGTGCGGTGGCTACCACATCCCTCTAGGAGATATATGCATGCCATGACACACCGCGACCACAAACGATGGCGTTAGCGGGCGTGAGCCGGCGACCACAGCCGTGCCAGTGAGTGCTCATGCCACGCCGTGCTATGCTCGTTCTTCTCAAGAGCAGAAAAACTTGCAAAAGTCCCGGCAACTGTTCAATGGCAAATTGTTCATTTATCATCACACTCGGCTCTATCTGCCATTGCGCTACTTTTTCCGAACACAGTGACATCTAAGTGGCTACCCTGCCCGGTAGCGATGAACACGACAGGGTAATCTGAAGAGCGCGTACTGCCGCCACGCAGCGGGATGGCAGGCCAGCGTGCATTGTACGCAGCGGATGACGGTCGACTTCATTGGGATTACGAGCCAAGTCAAAACTCAAGGCCGGTATGTTGAGGGCGCGCACAACGTCAGCCTGTCCATGGCATCATCAAGCACACGCAATTGGCCATACCCACGCAGTCCGCGTAATTGGCGTGTTTAGTGCCATAGCGCTATTCCTCTCAGTATTTAGTCTTCCCATCTGGCTAAAAAGTTGCGAAGAATTGACTAAATGTGTCATCGTATTCCACCATGAGCTGCTTGTAGGCACTGTTGGGCCACGCCGTGGCCCAACAGTGCCTACGTGTGTTTTTAAAACATGCACAGACAACGACTCAGTTTTGCATAATCGCTTCCAATATAGTTCAAGATCTTCACCAGCCTCTCAATATTAGTCACAACATCAAAGGCATCCGTCATCTGCCGCTTCCCTGCGAATCATCGGCTGGTGCTCGATTGCGCGGCCGTGCCACTCCGACGCCGACCTGAAGGTGGTGCAACTCAGAGCGTCAGCCTGTCGCCTCTACCAGGGAACATTTTGACCTGCTAGCCGCTCTGTTTGCAACCTGAACCTGTTTCTGTACGTGCTCCGTGCCGCCGTCCCCGCCCTCTCGGAAGCGGTGCCGGGCCGAGCTGGCTCACGTGAGATCGGTGGACCGGCGGCCGGTCGTGGTCGGGTCGCCTGGCTGGACGGGGGCGCCCGCTGCAGAGGGCGTTACGTCAGGTGGGGCAGCACCGCCGGCGACAGCGTGACGGCCAACCACGTCGCCCTCCCACGGCAGAATAAAAGCCCGGCTGCACAGACACCAGGCACCAGTCACTCGCCAGCAGTGGTGTCCATCTCACAACGCCACGGAAAACATGAAGCTGGTGAGTACGGCCAGAAAGGTCCGTGCTTCATATGAGAGCTGCCTCTCGTATTCCAGCGGCGTCTGTACTGTCAGTGAGGAGGCCAGGGAAGGTCTTGTAGATAGGGTCGTTGATCATCTTTCATTTCTTTCTGTGTCCGGCAAAGTCAAAGTGTGTTTAGTAAACGGGTAGGTATGTAGCCATTTCGGTGAACCGCATTATTAACATGACGGGCTTTAATTGGTCACCTTAAAAAGTAAGAACGTAATTTGACACCCCACAGCTTTGTGTAAGAAATCAGAACAGAAGTGCTGACGTAGGCTACAATTTCAACAGTCCCTGAATAAGTGTGAAAGGCCACGTCGCCAGTCAATGCGCTGTCAGATGATACACATATTCAACAGCTATCCCTTCCCCACCCTGCATCTACGCCCAGAGACTGATGACAGAGGATGGCTTGGCAAAGGTGCCTGCACCGTTGGGTCGGCACCTCCTCTGACGTCAGCTGGGTGTGTTTCCAGCTGATCGTAGCCTCGCTGGCGGCCCTGGCCTGCGCTGATGGCCCGCGGCCGCAGCCGGCGCCCGCCTCCTACCAACGGCCGGCGGCCCCGGCACCAGCCTCCTACCACCAGCCGGCGGCACCGGCCTCCCACCAGCAGCCGGCCGGCTACGGCCAGCCCTTCGCCATCCTCAGCGAGGAGAACGTCCACCCGGGCGACGGCACCTACCAGTTCAGCTTCCAGACCGAGAACGGCATCTCACGTAACGAGAACGGCAGCCCCAAGGACGGCTACGGCAAATCCGAGTACGGCCAGCCCACCGGCGGCTACGTCCAGCAGGGCGGCTGGAGCTACAGCGACGATTACGGCAACCCCATCCAGGTGACGTTTGTTGCCGACGAGAACGGCTACCAGCCGTCCAGCGACATCCTGCCGACGCCGGTGCCGACCGAGTACCCGCTGCCGATCGTGCCGCAGGTGTACCAGGGCGAGCAGAGCTATGGCTCTGCCCCAGCCCCCGCTCCCGCCCGCTACAGCGCCCCGGCTCCTGCTGCCCGGCAGTACAACGCTCCCGCTCCTGCGGGTCCTGCGCCTGCTCCCCGGCAGTACAACGCTCCTGCTCCTGCTCCCAGGCAGTACAGCGCTCCCGCTCCTGCAGCTCCTGCTCCTCGGCAGTACAACGCTCCCGCTCCTGTTCCTGCTCCCAGGCAGTACAGCGCTCCCGCTCCTGCCACAAGACAGTACAACGCTCCTGCTCCGGCTCCTGGTCGTTACAGTGCTCCTGCCCTCGCCCGCAACTACTAAGACGGATGGACGGCGAGCGCTAGGCATAGCGTATACGAGTGTGCGAGGATGTGAGGCTGCATGGGTGAAATATTTATGCGTCCGTACTGCTAAGAAATACGGGCGCATGTGAAATAAACTGTTTTCACCGCACTGTTATGATCATTTGTACCTGAGACAAACGATGCCAACGATGTAAATGGCCAGCAACATGATGGACCGACGAGGCAACATTTCAACTGAATAGTTCACATCCCCACCAGATCCCTGATCTGGCTGCCAGGAACCCACAGATGATGGATCGACAACGCCGGACTGGTAGTCACGTCGCATGGCTGGCTCCGTTGCACAGGTTGTGCTTGCAAGGCGCTTGTCCGGCGGAGTCGGGCGTCAGAATGGTAGGCCCCGCAGCACGGGTTGTACTTCCAGAGCGCCTGTCCGGCGGAGTCGGGTGTCAGAATGGTAGGCCCCGTCGCACAGGTTGTATTTGCAAGGCGCCTGTCCGGCGGAGTCGGGCGAGAGGCTCAGTCTGTTGACGGAGAAGTTCACGGTAATGTTGATATGGCCGCTCGCCTTCTCCAGCGACGCCTTCTCTAGCAAATCGCTTAAGAGGTGCCACTTGAACGTGCAGAAGCGTCTGAGTCGAGATGCTTTTGATGCAGATCTTGCACTTTAGATACTTTCAAGCGCGTTGGCTTTTTGTCTCTGTGGAGCGCTTCCGTCTTGAGGACGACGTTAAAGTAGGCCTGCAAATGGACTGGCCCGTCTTGAATGAGATCGGCGGAACCATTTTCCAGGACCTGCCAAAAGCCACGGACACGTGGCCCCACGCCGTTCACTGCAGTGGGGTCTTAAGCTGTCAGCAAACAGATCAATACACTTCTAATTTACAACACTACAAGCTCTTCAGACGCGGCAGACGCCTGTAGGCTTCCGTTGGCCTCTGTCTGGCGCTGAGGCCGTCGGTCACCGATGTCAGAAGTGGTAGGATTTGGTCGCCTGTTGACAAGGTTGACGTCTTTACACACAATGTTTTTTAGCATAGCTAATGATACGGCAAACCTTTTGCTGCAAACATTGCAAGCTCATGCCTATTTATTGCTGGACGTTCTGTGGCACCGTGTCGATACCTGTTGCGTGCACCAGGCTGGTGTTTAACCTGCCGCCTTTCTGCACTCCAGCTGACGTGCCCCGGGCCTGAAAGCTTTCCCATCTTTCCAAGTCTTCCTCATGGGACAATGTAAGAGCATGGCAAAGGGGACATGTACCACCCGCCCAAAGGCAAAGAGGAGGCTTGAAACCACCGGCCGTGGTCGCAACAAATTTGTAAGTGAAGGTACAGGAAGGAGTAACTGTGACCACACGTATGCAAACGTTCGTGGCAATCACGGAAGTCAAGTAAATCTATGACGTTGTACTAACTAAGTTGTACGTGCCAGAGCCTGACTACTGCAGCGGCTGGACCGCACCGGACTGGCGCTCCGCGTGCCTCAGCCATTGTTCACCATGCTCTTGTCCGCGTGCCTGCTCCGTTATCCTTCGCGCTCTTGGACACGTGCCTGTGTCGTTGTCCGTGGTATTATTGGCCACGTGCTCCATGCCGGTGCTCTTCCACCTTCACTCATCAAGGCCGACCAAGCGCACGTTCAGCCCCCTGTGCGATATGCTGTACCGCTAAGCAGCGCTCCTCGTCCGTGCCCCTGCGCCAAGCCGGGGACAAAGGATATCCCAGTATTTCCGCCGAGCTCCTTAGCTATCATTACTGAGGAAAGCACCGTTTCTATCCAAATAGTGGGGTCTAATTCAACCACTGCCCCACACAAACTAAAATCCTATCCAGCCTGTTGATATTTGCCGAGGCAGATATGCTTCGAGTACGACTACAACGCGGCGACAAGCAGGTTAACCCGCAGTGGCCATCCAATCAGCAGGAGCATCGCAACTTAAATATGTCGTCTTAGGTAACACGGATCATTTCATTTTTATATAAGAACTGTAAGGTGAAATCAATACGCAGATTAAGTATGCATGCCCATACCCATGCTCAGCGTTCTAGAATCACCGACTTTGCGTGTTAAAGAGCACCCCATGAGGCGTTATTTTTCAGTCATTCTCCCCATACTTAATGTGAATTTTTCACTCCTTCCTGTTATCGTCTAACCACACATGCCAAACCCATATTTCCCTTTCAGAGGTTCTAAGACGTCATCCAAAACCGAGCTCACTTGAAGCCATCAAGCATAAACAAGGCTAAACAGAACCCGGACACCCATGGCTATATCCTGCCTCACCTACATTTGATTTATGCCTATGCATTTACAAGGCAAGGGCACCAAGTACCTTCAATCCCGAGAGCCTCAGTGACTCAAGCTGCTTGCTTGCATTAAGTTTGTGATAAATTTTATTCATAAACCAAACTTAATGCAGGCAAGCAGCTTGAGCCTCAGTGACTCAAGCTGCTTGCTTGCATTAAGTTTGTGATAAATTTTATTCATAAACCAAACTGAATGCAGGCAAGCAGCTTGAGCCTCAGTGACTCAAGCTGCTTGCTTGCATTAAGTTTGTGATGAATTTTATTCATAAACCAAACTGAATGCAGGCAAGCAGCTTGAGCCTCAGTGACTCAAGCTGCTTGCTTGCATTAAGTTTGTGATAAATTTTATTCATAAACCAAACTGAATGCAAGCAAGCAGCTTGCATTAAGATAAATGCATTGTGATAAATGAGTATTATATAATATCATATCATAAGATAAATAAATGCATTGTGATAAATTTTATTAATAAACCAATCATCAGCTCTGTGCCAAATGCAAGGTTTACAGGCATCCCGAATTATTTGGGTCACACTACACAAACACCGCAGCAAAGAAAAGCTTAATACAAACACCACCAAAGCGTGGTAGATGATTTTGCTCCACGTATTTCTTGTACCCGAAGAAACTTGACGACTCAATTACTACTTAATGAAGTATAAAGCTGAATATCAAAATTTGAGCACTCGTTTTCACAGATTTTTGATCAAGCTGATTGATGACAAAAACTGACCCAACAGCTCTACGTCTCTACCTTTATTCAATTACTGTTGTTTTTCTTGGCCTCATACGGTTGTAATACAACTTCATTTTTTCTTCCTTTCCGATTATCTTTAAAAACACCATCTATGGCTTCAAATGTTGACCATTTGTCTGCAAAATATTCCATCTGCAAGCTGGCATTTAATTTGCACATGAATTGGATTAATTTTCAAGCCGCCCAAACATGTTTGATATGCGCCCGAGGGCGAACAATGCGTGGGAAATTAAGATGAAAAGCAATTTTCGTGCTTCACATTGTCTCCTTCATTCCCTACAGATTGTTCAGTCTTGGGTACAATCTCCTTCATGTTTGGGCGGCTGGCAAATTAACTCAATTTAGGTATGAAGTATATGCAAGTTTTTGGTCGGAACATTTTGCAGAGAAATTGCACAACACTTGAAAGGGAATGTTTCACATTTAAACATATTGAGATAAGCATCAGATATGACGGGAAAAGCTTACTTGTAACTATTGGCAAGCTTTCAAGGTTTACAAGTGACCCTAAAAAGCAAAATTTCAAAGTTTGAAAAAGGCGCCTCATTACGTCATTGCTTAATGGCGTCATGGAGTTGGTTTGTGACGACAGCAATACCTGGCAGCATCTGGCAGCAAGACCTACAGAATACATCGAAACGCACCAAAGCTGACGCCAACCGGCCATTCTCGCCGCGGGCGCTGTGTTGCGTGGCTGATTAATGGACGGCTTGTTTGTGTATTCTTTGTTTTGACATTGGTCGTAAGAGAAGCCTTGGTGGGCTGTTTGACATACATATTGTATTGTCGACTTATCCTTACCTGCAGTGCTGTAATCCTGGCAATGATATCATGCGATGTGCACAGTAGTTACTTACTTATGAAATTGCAACGCAGTTGCATGCAAAAATCAGTGAATCTGTAATCGTTGCTGTGAACTGATTGCCAAAACATTGTTCATGTCATGGTGAAGATAGTAGGGTTGAGCTACCATGAATATTTTTCTTGCTTAGGATTATTCATGCAATTACTAGTTAACCCTGATATAACCGTTGTGGTGGAACAGCATTCCTGGTGATGATAGTCATTTAGAGTTGTTAAATCGGTTAATACCAGTCAGTCATAACTTATAACCTGTTATCTCATAGGCTTGACATAGAGTCGCTAACCAATGTGGTACAGTGCATAATGGCACGGGTCAACAGTGCCATCGTGGCACTACCTCAGTGCTGCACTGTGGCATGACATAATGAGCAATGATATAGTGTTTGTGCTGTCATCCCTGCTGCTTTCACAATAAATTCCATCGTGAAAAGATGGGCCAGACGTGTATTCTTGTATTACCTCTGCATCTGACATATGACTGGCCAAAACCACATGATGCAAAATACAAATCCCTTTCAGCAAAGCACACAACCAATACGTGACATCACTTGCTCAGCCTGTTTTGGGAATCTAAAAAACATGGGTGACAAAAATGCAATCACGTCTCCTGCTTCCACAGTCATGCAACATGCAGCCATCAGGCTGCTTCACTTAGCACACGCT